ACCTGGGACACTTGACTGTCTGCAATTGGCGCATTCGACGTCGGTACATTGGACACTGAACTCTCCGCAATCAGCACGTGCAGCGGGCCCACTTCAGAGAGTTGGAGACACTGAAAGGTCTCAACCTCTTGATCCCAGGTGCCAATTGCAGACAGTGTAGTGCCCCCGGTACCAAACATCCTGGGGCACTGGACTTTCTCTTACCATTGTCCCAGGTGCCAAACATCCYAGGACACAGTGGATATCTTACTCAGGCAGAGATAATCTGTCCTTGTAGGGTGCATGGATGTGTAATACGTTGGAGGCTCAAACACTGCACCGTCCGCAATTTGCACATGACTTGGGAGTTTGAGACTTTGGTACCTGGGTCAGTGCGCTGCCTGCATGGCTGTCCGGTATACATACACTAGTAGCACTCTATGTATCTCTACATAGCACGGACTCCTGAAGTTGTTTCACATATAGTCTCTGAGGATCCCACACAGACCTTTGGTAAAGCTTTGATAAATTCTCTTGCTTCTTTGAGTCCCGAATTTGTAATACTACGAATCACTTTAATTACTGTGATTCTACTAGAGCTAGGTACTTCTTCGAGAATAATATCAAATTCAGTTTTTCCTCAATCTCCTCTACCTCCTTGTTGTTGGATGTCGACGCAGCTAGTATTCCTCTTGAGGAAAGAAGATTATCAGAACTGATACCCAGTTCAATCTTGAAGCTTATCTGTAAAAAAATTTACTTCTTGAAGAGTTAAAGATTTAATGGCAAGTGTAAGAATCTTTCTTTAGTTTAAACACTGTTACAAAAAACCTATTAAATCTTTCTTTTTTGGAGTATTAATGAATTATTCATTTTTTAATTTCATTGTAAATAGTATGCTGCTTACAGCTCGAACAATTAAAAAAAAAAATTAAACGGTTAGGTGTATTGCGTCTGGATTCCAGCGACACTTTGGTGCGTTTTGTATATCATTTTTGCTTTTTACAACCTCATGGTGGTCTTTTGCTTTCAGCTCCACTTCGACACATCACACCCACCTCAACGCACTGGGCCCACTTTGACATATCGAGGCCACCTCGACGTAGTGGGCCCACTTGGCATATTGGAGACAGATCGGTGCGTCGGACCCTGTTTGACATATCGGGCCCACATCAACATATGGGCTCACTTCGACATATCGGACCCACTTTAACGCATTGCCCCCATTTCGACATATTGGGCCCGCTTCAACGTATTTGGCCTGCTTTTATTCTTCGATGTTGGGCTGTATCCGTCCATATTGCAAATTGGTCTGGAGTCTGGACCTTCACACATGGTGACAATTAAGGCAGTAATAATGTGATCTTGACTAGAGAGCAGTGTCCAATCCTTCTCACCATACTGTGGGGTGTGGCACTCTGCCCACAGGCCAACCAAGATGGGAAGAAGAAGAAAGACTCTGCATGGAGGAGCAAGGTAATTCAAGCAATGGCCTCTGGCATTATGGCGATGGGCTCAAAGAGTGCACGTGGAGAAGATGAGCAAGACACTGTTGGCATGATTGGTGACTACATGCGGATTGTTTCAAGCGAGGAAATCCATGTCAACAGCAAGCTGACAATTCTGCTAGTCTTTCTGCAGTGTATGAGAGAGCTAGATGAAGGTAAGTATATGTGCATGCAAAGTGAGGAGTGACAGGCCAATATGTAAAATAAAATTATTCGAGAATCGAAATGCAATTAGGAAAGAAAACAACAAACCAAGATACAACGGGACCTGGAAGCCCTGCCTTGGAAGTTGGAAGACAGATCGACCAGAACTGCTCTGGGATGTCATTTGGTGGGGAATATTGGTGGCAGCGTATTATAGTACTATCCAGCACACGAGTTTGGGTGAGAGGGATATTCACCCGTCAATGCATACTGGGATGTGCGGCTCAACCTCCTCCTAATCAATAGGTGAACGTAAGAGGAAACAATCTGCCACAGTCGTGCTTTCTCTGTGGAGTTGTGTATAACAAACATGACCACAGTATCTCTGCGAGGAGGCTCAGACAGTGTTTGCTGTGGGTGTCATTCCCACGGGCTGCTCCTTTGGAGCACATGGAAGAAACGGGGGCTTCCACGTTTTTTTAAGCACTAGCGCTCCTGGTATTGTGTGGAGATCTTGTGGAGTTTGGTATGATTTATGGTGGCTTTGTGGGCCGACACAGAGGGCTCTCCAAGTTTTTTCAGACCATTTGGAGTGTGGTAGGTGCTTTCTCGTTAGTGGAACCTGTTGTGTTGCGGTGCTAGTAATTTTTGCGTTGGGGTCTATACACTCCAGCGGCCAGGCAACAAAGTGCAAGGGAGGTTGTCTAGCCATGCAACGATGGAGATGACGGTGGCAGGAGTGAGTCGTTGGAGATGAATAGTACTAGTGCCAGTGCTTTGCCTTGTGCCGTTGAGCCCTCTTTATAGAGTATGCTATATGTGTGCAAGTGTGCCGCTCCGGCGGCATGGCTCAAGGCCACAAGGCAAAGCACTGGCACTAGTACTATTCATCTCAAACGACTCGCTCCTGCCACCGTCATCTCCATCGTTGCATGGCTAGACAACCTCCCTTTCACTTTGTTGTCTGGCCGCTGGAGTGTATAGACCCCAACACAAAAATTACTAGCACCACAACACAACAGGTTCCACTAACCAGAAAGCACCGACCACACTCCAAATGGTCTGAAAAAACTTGGAGAGCCCTCTGTGTCGGCGCACAAAGCCACCATAAATCATACCAAACTCCACAAGATCTCCACACAATACCAGGAGCGCTAGTGGATGCATCCTTGGCAGACTGTTGAGGTCTTACCTCCTGATGTGTTGTTGAAATCTGTTAAATGCATCTTGGGAAGACTGTCTACGATTCAACCTCCTGACGAGTCGGTTAAAGTTCAATGAAACAGTCTGGCACAGTCATACTTTTTTTTGGTGGAGTTGTGTATAGCGAACATGACAACACACACATACACAGGACAGACAGATAGACAGGCAGACAGACAAACACAACGGCTCCTCAACTGAAAACATTCTGCAACCCAATTACTGGCCTCTTGTGCCATTCTGGAGTATTTAGAACTCGGTCAAGTTCGTCATATCTTTGTCCTGTCCTTTGCCACTCCACTTTCTCTCCTAGCCTATTTCCCCCCCCCTTATCCTTTCCCTCTCCCCTGCCCCTCGCTCCCTATGGAACTCCGCCTTCTTCCATTTCCTTGTGTGCTACTAGTAAATGCATATGAATGAGCATCATTACAAGAACAGACAAAATATAAGCTGACGATCTGAAGTAAAATGAACAGGAGTATACATAATACCTCCCCCGTTACTCTTCCTCCTTTCATAACGTGTGCCGTTAAACCGCCAGTACACGGCCCCAGCTTTGCGGAAAATGCAACTTGTCGCCTGCAAAATTTTCGGAGGCTCGGCCTGCTGGACCACAATGGCTGGCGGCGCCAGCCAGAAAAGAAAGAAAGTGCACCGCCAGCGGTTCGGACAAGCTTGGTGCACAGTAAGGTGCCTCCAGAACGCGGGTGTACTGCTGGTTCAAGGCACACAGGGAGTGGGCAGCTGGCGCTCAACCACAGTCAACGTGGCCAGCCTTGTATGCGAGAGGCATAGTAAAAGGGGAGCTGCAAGAATAAATGAAAGGCGCACCGCAAAGAAAGCAAAAGTAAACACACTGAAGAAAGGGATTTAAACGGATCTATTTGCTCCATGTCTCTTGCTATAGAGTTAAAACTGTTTCACTGTTGGATTCTCTGAACTCAAGTGCTGTCATTTTCTGCAATAGGACTGAAGCTGCTTCAATTTTGGATCTACTCATCTGGGTGGAACAGGGGCTGTTGTGGTGCAAATCTACAACATACATGCACACACGCACGCACACAAGCACACATGCACGCACACAAGCGCACATACACACACACACACAGACACAGACACAGACACACACACACACACACACACACACACACACACACACACACACACACACACACACACACA